TACATAGGTTTTGTTTAATTTTTTAAAAATGATGTTATTTTAGAGCAAAACAGGAAGCATATTTACTGAGGCAGATTTATTTGGATAAAGAGTTTGAACCTGGAGTGAGGAATGAGGGGAAAATTTGGATCATGAGATTATGGTTACTTGCTTATAATACATGTTTTCACTTTCAAATTTTTCTGCAATAAATACTAATTGCTTCTAGAACCAGAAAAGCATCAATAAATTATATTTTAATTAAGTATAATATAATGTCAAAATGAATAAAAGTAAATATGCATTTGCTTCCATATGTTCCAATCTATTTTAAATATATTTTATTGATTTTTAACAGAGAGAAAGGGAGAGAGAGAGCTAGAAACGTCGATGAGAGAGAAACATCTACCAGCTGCTTCTTGCACACCCCCCACCGGGGGATGTGCCCGCAACCAAGGTACATGCCCTTGACCGGAATCGAACCTGGGACCTTTCAGTCCGCAGACTGACGCTCTACCACTGAGCCAAACCGGCTTCGGCTGTTCCAATCTATTTTAAAATGATGTTTCATGCCGAAACCGGTTTGGCTCAGTGGCTAGTGTGTAGGCCTACGGACTGAAAGGTCTCAGGTTCCGTTCCGGTCAAGGGCATGTACCTTGGTTGCGAGCACATCCCCAGTAGGAGGTCTGCAAGAGGCAGCTGGTCAATGATTCTCTCTCATCGATGTTTCTAACTCTCTGTCCCTCTCCCTTCCTCTCTGTAAAAAAATCAATAAAATATATTTTTAAAAATGATATTCCACATTTATGTAAACATGTATATACTTGATGGTCACATACGTATATTGCCCATATACTATGCCCTCAGCACAAAGTTATTGGTTTTCACTTCACTGTGCAAGTTAAGGTGCCTTTAGCATGGATTATGCTGGGAAAAAGACCAACTGTTAAAAATGATAAAGATACAATTTTCGCATCTCTACTCAATGTTGTAGAATGCTGAAAATAACCATATATTGCCAAATGTAATACTGAAATATATATTCAAAATTGTTATTAACTCTGAAGTTTTGTGTCAAATACATAGCTATGGAGACAGATTAGTATGTATTCTGTGGTCATTAAAAAATATTAGGTAAAAATATGTTAATGTGAAGAAAAATCTATTTAGGTTTGTATATTTAAAAACAAAATAAATAAACAAAAAAAAAACAACCTCCAAATAACTGTAGGTTTCAACTCAGCAAGATTTTCAAGAGGAAATATGCTAACAAATACTGGACTGGAGTGGGAGTGCACTTCTAGGAAAGAGGTAAAGTGGTTCCCTCCATTTAGAGCAAAATAGACTGATGCACCCAATGAAGTATAGAAACTCTATAAAATTCTCCTATTTTTAGGAAGTATAGTAGCCTAACGTGATGTCAGAAATATAAGACCTCATCCAACTCAATCAGTAAGTCCATTTAATGAACATTTATTGAGAACTTATCAGCAGTCACCAAAAGGGTGCCAGAACTTATAATCAAATGAATTATATGGATGGGAAATAATAATTAGTTAACCTTTGTTATATTATTATAACCATATTTATTTTTGAATAGATTCTCATTCTTCAGTGACAGGTACATAAGTAGGCTTCCCATCTCCCCACCTCTTGCATCACAAGTACACTCACACACAGCTTGTTGCATTTGTAGGCAAGTTAAACAAATTACAAATTTAGCCAAGGTGTCAGAGAAAAGAGACTTTTACCTGGTCCTCAATTATCACCTATAATGGAAAACCTCAAACCTCATCTCATGTGGTGCTTGGTTATTAATATACTAGAGGCCCGGTGTACAAAATTTGTGCACTTGGGGGGTGGGGAGGTCACTCAGTCCGGCCTGTGCCCTCTCACAATCCAGGAGCCCTTGGAGGATGTCCAACTGATGACTTAAGCCTGCTACCCGCATGGAGCGGGCCTAAGCCAGCAGTTGGACATCCTGTGAGCCAGGCTTCTGGCTGAGCAGTGCTCCCCCTGTGGGAGAGCACTGACCACCAGGGGGCAGCTCTTCCATTGAGCGCCTGCCCCCTGGTGGTTAGTACGCATCATAGTGACTAGTCATTTGGCCATTCAGCCGATTTGCATATTAGCCTTTTATTATATAGGATCCTGATTGCTATGACCTCATTTCTTTTGCAGTTCAGAATTCCCTAGGTCCCCATAGTTAATCCCCTGACCTTCTGAGATATATAGTAATTTACTCCCTTACTTCAAACTAAGCTGAGCAGAAGGGAACTACGAATTCAGACCCTCTCTGCCTGGGAGCACCAGGTGGTTATTTGTTCTATGGAGCCCTCCCTGCTGCAAGATCTCTTGTTACCACTATGAAAAGGACGTGGGTCAAGAAAATGGGCATGGCTCCATCGATGGGGAATCTGATGATATTCTTTTTACTTTGTCTTAAACATTCTCCTTCTCCATAGCCCAAGCAACCTTTTTATATCTTGGGGGGGAAATTGCTCTTTCACAGTGCACATTTTCTTAGACTTCACATGTGTGTTTGCGCGTGCTGTGTGATCCCATCTTAAATATTTTATATTTCCAATAGCTCCTGCAATATTGTGCCAGATTTGTTTTTTGACCTAATAATACCCAAGGATCTTCAATACCTTCTTGTTGCCTCTTAAAAGAAATTCACCATCCTTATTGTGTTACGCAAGTCTCCTGAACAATCTGAATTTACCATAGCTTTAATAGGAACATTTCTTTCCCTCCTAGGTTCCTATAGGAAGATGGCTGTAAAAACTTATTCCTACAAAAGATCTGCCTCTCTAGTGAGGCGGGTCTCATCATTGCTCCCAATGAGCATCACCCCAGCTTTAATCTCCTTAATGTTGCTTTACATTTACTTAATTAACCTCCATCCAAGTCTGGAAACTTTCAAATCTAGACATCTGTCCTTCATAAAATTTCCCCAATACTTTGCCCATCTTGATCACTCTTTGGTCAGGCAACTGTTAATATATACCTCACCTTATGGTATATGCAATACTTTCTATTATTATTATATTCTATTTATTTTTACATGCTCAGGTATTACTGGAATGGAAGCTTCTCATAGATAGAATTCATGCAGGCAGCAGACACATGGATAAAATGCAAAAAGTAAATACTTAGTACAGTGAATGAAATATGCATGTGGAGACCTAGAGAGAGAAGAAATTCAGATATTTGTCTCTCTACTTTATTATAATCCAAATAAATACAAAATATAAGGTGGGGCAAAGTAAATTTGCAGCTGTTCCTATGAAAAATAATACAATAATACAAGAATAAGCTGTGTTTCCTGTATTTACCACTGTAAACCTATCTTTGCCCTGTATACTGGTAAATAAATATTGAATTTGTTTCTGCCATGTAGACTTTCTAGAGTATTTTAGCATTACAAAAACTCAACACATTAGTTCAGAACATCACTTGATTTTTAATATTTTGATAATAGTTGGCCCACCTGCTTTCCTTGGTGCAATGCTCTAATATAATACCTTGGGAAGACTGTTCAGTCCTCAGTCTTTTAGAAATAAAATTCTCAGTTTGCTCTGGCTGTTTCTTTATAAGTGCTTTCTACTTTGATGCATTATTTAGAGTGAAAACATGTGTAGGAGCCTATTTCTATTGGACATGTTATGTTCATTTGTTTGTAGAGACAGAAAGACAAGAACACAATCATCACCTTTGTGTATTTAAATAATTCACATTGCCAGAGGTTTTTTATGCTTACTAAATCAGCAGTATCTTCCAGTAATCTGTGAGACTGTATTACTAGTACATGATGGATCTCTAGATACAATTGCCTTCCTCAATGCTATGATGCTTTCTTTCTGATATTAGATATTTATAGCATTGGTGAAAATGACACATAAGTGTTACTTTATTGGGAATTTTTTTAAAATATGTTTTTATTGATTTTAGAGAAAGGGGAAGGGAGAAAGAGAGAAAAAGATAGATGAGAGAGACACATTGATTGGCTGCCCTCTATATGTCCCCCCACTGAGGATCGAGCTTGCAACCCAGGCATGTGCCCTGACCAGGAATTGAACCAGTGAACTCTTGGTTCATGGGTCAATGTTCAATCATTGAGCCACACAGCCAGGCTTATTGGGAAGTTTTTATTTCCCAGGGTGATATTCTTTCCGGAAGCACTTTCAAGATCATTTCTAAGGGTTGTCTTTTTATTCTTTACCTGGGAAGACCTCAAACATGAAGTCAGCCCCAGGGATGTGTTTCTCTTTGACTGAGGCTAAATCTACAGCGCCCAGAACAGTCCCTGGCACTCAGTAAACATGTGCTAAAGAAATAAATGATTAAATCAGAAAATTGTTATTTTTCTCTATATCTTTTCTTTCTTAAGTCCTTCTTAAAAGTACCTATCATTCCTTCCTATCCCCCGGGGCTGCAAATACCACTGATACCTTAAGAAACTAATTGAGAGAAATCTTTGTAACTGCACTGTACTTAGTGTTAAAATACTAGCTGATGTGCACTGGGCAGATATTTATGGATATCAGGTAAATATTTATAAGTATTATGAAAACTTATCTATCCTCCCTCTTGAAGTGTTGCCTGATTTCTCAAGTTTTTGCAAGTTTGCTTAAGAATGATAGCAAATAGAGCTATTTTCCTGCAGGAACCTAGGAAGAAAGTAAATGCTACTTTTCTCCTCAGTCTATGCCACACAGCATTTAATGATAGAAAAAAAAAAAAAAAAAGGAAAGGAAAGAAACAGACAGACAGACAGAGACTGATATTCACTGCATTAAAATATGGAATTTATTGAAAGCATCAGTTAGCTATTTTAGATTATGTAGATTTAAACAACTAACTAGCTTACAGATATAAATCTTTCCCTTGAAACAGAATTCGAACTTGTTCAAGCCTGTCATTACAAAGATGGCAGCATCTGAATAACCCTCCAAAAACACCTTGAGTTCTTAGAAGCTCCAATTTCTTTTTCTTTTCTTTTTTTCTTTCTTTTTTTTGTAACTGTTCCTCTCCATGGAAATCTTCAGTAAAAGGCGAAAGATTTATATGATCTGAAGAGAAACCAGAGTATAAAGCTCTGATTTATTGGATTATACAATACATTACTCAACTCCTTTTACATGGGATCGAATTATTAATATTTAAGAAGCAAAGCCGATTCATGTTTAACCTTTGTGGCAGGAGCTCACCATGTGGCAGTCACTCCTTTATGAGAACAAGAACCCATGTACCCCCAGCTGTGACAGAAATGGGATAGGAGAAAAGCCGCTCATCAGCTCTCCCCTTCTCATTGTCAGCATGTCATCCGCTGTAATAAATCATTTCAGGAGGCGTGTTTCACAGCATCACTTCTGCTCACTTCCTTGATAGTCAATTCTGGGTGCATGGTGATATGTTGGGAAACACTTTGCATTTTTATAGAAAGCTTCATGCAAAGTTAAACGTGTTTTTAATGTTGAATTTTAATTCTCTTGAAGTACTGAACTTGTTCATATTTTGAATCTTGGGAAATGGAGGCATCATATAGTAATATAAAGAGTACTTTAATTTTACTATCTAATTATTATTCTAAAGGCCAGGGTCCTTTAGGTTTTGTTTTTGCTGTTTTTCCTTTTTAAGATCACTTATCTATAAGTTTACAGATATGTTAAAGCTACTGTATGTATATTTTTAAATCTAAATCTTGTATCTACATGGAAAGAAAGTATATTATTTGGATGCATTAAAGATATAACAATATTTATAGAAAACATTTCATTATTTTTCACAGAATATTATGAAGCTATATGTAAAATATAGGATATAAAGTGTGCATATAACTATATATAATTCTGCTTTTCTTTTATGATAATTGAGAATATAGCTATTACTTTTCTGCACTTTGCTTTTTCATTCCAAAATGCATCATGTAAATCTCTCCAGGTTAACCAATAAAGAACTAGTTCATTAATGTTAAGGGTGACATGGTATTCCATGGTATAGATACTCCACAGTTTGTAAGGCCATTCCCTATTGGAAGGCACTTTCTTTGTTTCCACTACTTTATAAATTTTACTTTTACTCAATATATTTTTTACATATCTTATTAAGTAATGATTCTCTTACTTATCTATTTGATAGATTATTGAAACTGAGTTTGTTAAACAATGGTGTAAATAAATATAGATGTAGATAGATATACATCATACACATATACATATTCATATGCATATCTTTATTTTAATAGATATTGCCAGATTATCTTTTCAAGAAGCACTGAAACACTTTTCCTAGTACATGAGATTTAATTCTTCTCTGTATTATTATCAGTGACAGGAAGTATAGTTCCTTTTATTTTTTGACAGCTCTGTTAACATAATGCAGTATGTTATTTCCTGTTTTGGTTGTGTGTTTATGTGTGTACCCATGTGCACCATCTTCTTACTATCAAATTTGGACATTTTCAACAAATATTGTTGACCATTTAGGCCAAGATCTTTACTATTTGTTTTGTTTTTCAATGTTTTTACTTGATTTCAGAGAGGAAGGGAGATGTAGAGAGAGAAACATCAATGATGAGACAGAATCATTGATCGGCCACTTCCTGCAGGCCCCCACTGGGAATCAGCCCATAATCCCATAATCCAGGCATGTGCTCTGACCAAGAATCGAACCTTGACTTCCTGATTCACAGGTGGACATTCAACCACCGAGTCATGCCGGCCAGGCATCTAGAGACTTGCTAATATCTTTCCTGTCAGTCTTGAAGCTCTCTGGTAAGATATATTACATGCTGCATAAAGTATTAGCAAGTACAACCCAGAAACAAATTAAAATAAAAATATATGACAAGGGTTTATGCCAAGAATGAAAGAGAATGCATTATCAAAAAGTTTATCAGTATTAATAAAATAAGTGATCATATCAATAGATGATTAAAAGATCTTTGACAAAACTCACCGGGCATTCCCAATAAAAGAACTAAATAAAAGATTAATAAGAGCATATGTAGATCCTATCATACCACAACCCAATAGTACATGTTATAATAAATAAAGAATCACTAAAATATTTCCAGTTAAAAACAGGAATGAATGCTGTCACAATTATTATTAAATGCTCCCCTGAAAGTTTTAACACAAGCAAATATTCCTAAAAAATAAATAGTAGCATAAGCACTGGAAAAGTAGAGACAAAAATTAACCCTTTGGATGATTAATAAATCCAAAATATAAAATGTTCAAAAACAAAATTAATATAGGACATTGCTAAGGTAGAAAGACACAGCATAAATATGCAATACCAATAGCTTTCTCTATTCTAGCAGTAAGTACCAATACATGCAAAGAGGGGGGAGATCTTTTTTCATAGTGAGTAACCAAGAAGATACTAAACTATCTTAGCATGTTCCTGCTGAGAAAACAAAAGCGCCCCTGGATTCCAGAGAGCTGGCCCAGCCTACACATGCTCTCTTGCTGAAGATACAAAATGTCATAGAATAACATCACCACCCGAGCCTGCTCCATCACTGTGATGAATATATTAAAAAAATAAGACCACTGCCTAATCATACCTGCACACAGACAACGCCTGAATGTTGCCCACATCATAAAACTAATCCAACATATTTCATTCTGGCTAATACAAATGCCTGCTTCATTCCTTTCACCTGATTTACAAGGTCTTCTTACCCTCAATGGCAGAACTGTTCTGGCTCCTGGCGGTATCCCATTCAGGGCACAGCCCTACATCCTTGAATCCTCTCCCAAATCACTGCACATGGGTAACTCCTATAATTGATCCTTATTTGGTGCAGAGAACAATAAACCCAACATACTCAAACTACAGGTTGGTGCTGGCGTCATTGACCCCGGATGGAAAGATTTAGAGCACACACCTTTCAATTCTCCTAGCATTACTGTTAAACATTTCAATAAATACAATCAGCCTCCCCACCTGGGATGTGTTGTGGGTTGAGATTTGCCCAAAATAATCTTCAAGTTCACATAGAAACATAAATGCCCGAGAATAGTTCAAATCATTGTAAATAAAACTAGGGGAAGTGAATATGACCGGTGGGTTGTTGATATCCTGGGATGATATACTATAATTCTGAAAAATGTTACCATTGGGGAAAAGTGGGGGAAATGTGCAAGAAACTTCACTATATGAAGTCTCTTACAACTACTTGTGAATCTGTAATTATCTCAAAATTTTCGATGGAAATAAAGGAATAACAATGCTTGTGGAGAAGAAAACTTGAATTGTCAGAATTCATATTTTACTCTAAAATCAGTGAATGCAAACAACAGTTGCTGGTATGAAAACAGATTAACTGACTGAAGTACAAAATCTAGAAATATATTCATGTATTCATTGTTTTTCATATATATTGATTCTCAATTCAGATATTATTGTTTAGATTAGATAAAGGTGTTTCAGACTTCTGGGAAGCAATATATAAGACTATGTAAGTGATTATTATCCTACATATTTTAATTACGTTGTTTGATATACTGAATATAACAATTACTCGATGAATAATAGGAGGCAACATTTACTCTTTCAGAATAATGTAAACTCTATTTTTAAAGTTGCATATTATATTTAAAGTATGCTTTTACATGAAAAATGACAATTTAGGTGTACATAGTAGAAGTGATATTAGTGTTTTTAAGTTAAACATTAAAATAATATCTAGCATGAAAATATATATTTACTGTTATACAAAGAAAAGGAGGTCCTCTCTGTCCAAGAAACACGTAAACCACCCAAGAAAGATTTCCTCTATGAAAGTTGCTCTATAAGGCCAAAGCTTCATTCTTCTGGTCCCCTCACAGGTTCTTAAATAAATCTAATATCTAATGACTCTTTCCTAAAACCGCCTTTTCTCCGGGAAGTAAGTTTCTTGCTCCTGCTCTGTGGTAATTTATCTTGATTTCTTTCATTTTTTTCAGCTGGTCTCCTTAATCCTCTTAATTACAGCTTCTTTAGAACTCACCCTTATGTACTCGCACTCTTACCAGATCATTTCATTATCAATTATCTGTAAAATTAGCTCTTCAATTATGCGTGGTTTTTAATAACTTACTGTTCTCACCCATCAACCTTTCCAATTCGAAGGTAGTATTTTTAGATGTTTCCTATTCTCTTAGGTCGATTAATCAAGGACTACACTGATCTTTTTTCTTTCAAGAACCCATGAAGTTCCGACCTCTCCTGGGGCTCGGGGCTGGGAACGTAGTTTTTCGAAGTCAGGGGGCCTGCAAGTCACGTGAGGGCCTGTCAGTGAAGCCATTCCCACCTCCACCGCCAGATCTCTGACTAGGAGGTCTGGGTGGGACACAAGAATTTTTTTTTTTCTCTGAAAACATTTTTTTCTTTATTTTTCACCAGCTTCATTGTGTTATAATGGATATGTAATAAGGAATTTGTATCTTAAACAAGCACCTTACATGATTCTGATATGGGACATGTAAAGCCAATTCTTTTTTGTTTGTCTGTTTGTTTTTAAATATCTTTTTATTGATTTCAGAGAGGAAGGGTGAGGGAGAGACAGACAGAAACATCAGTGATGAGAGAAAATCATTGATGAGCTGCCTCCTGCATACCCCCCACTGGGGATGAAGCCCACAACCCGGTCATGTGCTCTGACCTCCCAGTTCTACACAACCACTGAGCCACACCGGCCGGGCTGAAGTCAATGCTTAAGAAACCCAGGAGGAAGTGTGACTGGTGCTATGTCAGAGTCCTCCTCATGTGCACCTTGTGAAGAGCCTAGAGCAGGGCCATTGGAATGGGAGCTGCTGCTGCTGCTGCTTGGAAATCGTGGGCAGGATCTCAGCTTAAAGCCGAGACCCCCGCCGGTCACTGAGACAATACACTGAGTGACAGGGGGCAAGAGTCAAATGAACTCAGTATTGTGTTCACATCACTGAGCCTCAGTTTCTCCCTCTGTCACTCCAGGACAGCCACACTCCGCAGGGTCATTGTGAGGATTCAGTGAGGCCACATGGGAAGCTTCATCTCCCAGTCAGACACTACGCAAGTGCTAAGTAAACATTAGCTCCTGCATTTCTTCTAAGA